GTCTCCTTCAGGAGGATGGCAAGTTACATTTATAGACCAACTCAGGCTTGGATGTTGGCGATAGCGTCGTCGAGCTTGTCGTTCTCCCCAGCCACCCTTGGATATCACGGGGTCGACCGCTATCACAAATTACTTTCTAAATGTTTGCATTGCCTTCAATGGTGACACTTTTGACCGCAGGCACGGCAGCTGCTCCTCCCATCGTCTTGTTCGCCATCGAGCCGGCGCCTGGCACGGCTCCTTCATCGGGTCAAATCGTCTAACTGGCTCAATTGGGCTTGTCAAATTTTGATAATTGGTCGGTGACGCAATTTGAAAATTTCCCACTTCAAACGACCCATTCTGCCGAATATTTTGCAAAAGCGACCCATTGAATAATGTTACCCCTTTTCAAACTGAGAAGCACGGTAGGATAATAGGGTTAGGAACGATGTAATCAAGCAAAATAATTTGTGTGGGCATTGCCTTCATTGTCAGCTCCGCCCTTGCCGCTTGGGTCATGCCCCTCTTGTATCAGATCTCTCATTCTCTCGGTCTTCGGTGAGAGACGACTTCGGGGTCTCTCTACAGTTCTCAAGTCAAAACCAGCAGCTTCGAAACACATCAGCATTTCGTAGCCTTTAGCACCTTGCGCCGCGTGGGCAGATCTGTAGAGCGCGATCAGCAGCGTGGGGAAGGCTACGCTCGCGCATCGGGCCTAAAGCCTTTCCGACAGCTCTAGCTCTCTCGTCCGGACGAACGGCAATTGGCATTCCGAGAAGGAAGTCACCACGCCTTGGTGAGCGCGTCCCCATTTTGAGAATACCATGGTCACTTCCAAAGAGCTGGAAGATGCGATCCGCGCCAAGATCCAAGGCGTCAGCGCAGCCGTCGTCTCAGACGTCTCAGGAGGTTGCGGCCAGGTGAGTTGTGCGCTCACTACGCCGGTCATATTTGCAGTCTGCGGCATTATAAATTATTTGTGGCTCTGTAGAAGATCGGTGGCTGCACAATAGAAAAGAAGCGGGTCGCTGACACCCCCTACGCACCTCTTTGTTTGCAGGCATACGACGTGGTCATCGTCAGCGAAGCATTCGAAGGGTGAGACTTCCTTTCTGCCTTTGTATCTTTCTACTTCCTTGCCTGGAGAAGTTGACATTTGCCATCGCTCATCTTGAACCTGCCTGACCGACCATTTCTTCTCATTGTGCGATCGTGCAAGGCTTACGACGCTTAAACGACATCGATTAGGTGAGTTTTGTGCTCATCTGCTGTTGGTCAAACGATCAGACGATCAGAGATGACAAGCGGTGCTAATCTTTGTGATGCGTCCATCTGAATCTGCTCCACCTGACCACCCTCTCTCTGCTCATTTGCTCACCAATACCTGCAAATTACATGATGCTGCCATGTCCCACGGCATCTCAACTGTTTCGTTCCCTCACACCTGCATTGCGGCACTACCTTGGTATTTAGTGAACGAATCGCTAAAGGACGAAATTGCGCAGATGCACGCGTTCTCACAAAAGACATACACGCCGAAGGTAAGCTGCGCATGACGACAAGACGTATGCTCTTTCCTTGCACCGCACCGACTGCCCAGAGGGCCAATGCTGACTACCACGCGCCCGTCCTCAATAACCCTACTCCTTTCGGTGACGCACACTCGGTGTATTAACTGTTGAAGCAATACGAGGTGGGTGTACCTTCCTTGCCACCCTTTTCCCTTGCATCCGTGCCTATGCGAGACATAGAGCGGACCCTCAAACGAGCTGTGCTGACACCTCCGTCTCCCCTTCTGTTCTTGCTCCGGGTTCCGATGTTCCGCGCCTGCCCAGTCACAGTGAAAGCGTTCAGCATTACGCCTCAACGGGTGTGCGTGCCCCGCCGACTCGCTCGCCTCTGTGATGTAGCATTAACAAACGATGTGTAGAGGCATTGGTGGCTTTATGTGCACCCACACCTGCATCCTAATAGAACATACTTGAACCAGCTGGTGGAGAAGGATATGCATGATTAGGTGATCGGACGGCACTGGGGCACTCGACTCAACTTGTATTGGCTTCAAGGCGCAGATATTCCTCTGGGATGATGCGCACTCTTCGGTAACCCCACACTTGGCCGATAACTGCGCCACGCCACTCTGCCAAGATGTTCAAGTCGGGAGGCGCAGGGAGGGTGCTTGGCAACTGGACTGCGTCAGAGCAGATTTCACACAAGAGTCTCACCCGGCGCACTGGGGCAGCATGCTTGCGCACACCCGCCGCGACACTGCTATGATTCCCTCGCTCGGGCCACACTCACACCCACTCTCACGCTTTTAATCACTGTCCAGCCCCGCAGGCTGTCTCGGTCTCGTCTCCTCCATCGGCCGCGCATCCTCATCCTCCTACAGAGTCCATCTTCGCCACCCCTTCTCCCACAGACCCATGGAAAGTTTCCCCGCATATATATATCTCCCACAAATGGTTGCTAACCCTTGATTCGTGCTGTCGATGTACAACAAGGGATAACGACACAGAGAGAGAAACGGACAGCGTCCAACACTGGCGGTGATCGACCACAGCCTTTCTGCCGCCTTTTCCACAGCACCATAGCAACAGAGCACCCCATCCCCCTCCTCCCTTTCCCAAGCGACCCGCCTCGCACCGCAGCAACGCAACGATGGCGCCACGTCAAGCAACCGTCGAGGTAGGCGAGGCGAAACCAGGCGAGACCAAGGTCCGCCGCTCGTTCTGCTCGCCCGACAAATTGGTTGAGCGGCCCGTCGAGGGTGTTAATACCATGGCCGAGGTGCTGGAATATGCAGTCAATAGTGAGTCGCCGATGTGTAAGCAGTGCAATGGAGAGGATTGGTGAGAGGCACCTATGTCTAGGCGTTGTGCAGGTGTCTACTCGCTCGTCTCTTGGCGGGGGCTGCGTAACAGAAGAGAGGTAATGTATGCAGCCAGGTATCGAGTGCTGACGGTGCGCGGCGGTGAGACAAGCGCCTGCCGAAGCATTCTGCTCGAGGCTCCAGGTCGGTCTCTGCCTTTCGAGTCTACCGCAGCAGTGCACATGTCGACTCGCGATGTCTTTCCCCACAAGCTGGGTACATGCTAGCTCGCGACATGGCATACAGCCAGCACACCCCAGGCTAGGATGGGGTCGCTTTGGCGGCGTGCGCTGCGAGCTTTTCACGAGGATGTGGTCTGATCCCCCGAAGTGGAGAGCAGTGGTACTCGCAGTTGGAAGAAAGGACGAACCTCAGCATGCGAAAGCGCAGCTCCCCCCCTCTCCCGGGAGAGAGAGAGAGAGAGGGGGGTCATTCCATTTTAGAATGCCTCCCGCCCAGACCTGGCTTCCTCAAGTTAGCGTTGGCGCGCAGGTGCATGCTACCCACAGCACTGACGGGCGTCCGGGAATGTACTGCCTCTGATTCTCGAGCGTCTCTGCAGTGTTGAATTCTTGGCAGTCGTTGGACCGCTCACAGTTGGTCTGACTGGATCTGACGCTCACTTTATCTCTCCAACCACGTTTCCAATTCGCAGAGTTCGGGAGCAAGCCCATGGTCGGATATAGAGATTTGATCAAGATGCACAAGGAGGAGAAGGAGATCACCAAAAAGGTGGACGGAAAGTACCAGAAGGAAAAGAAGACATGGGAGTACTTTGAGCTGTCGGACTACAAGTACATCACCTACAAAGAGTTCGCGGACCGCGTCAAGGTCATCTCCAGCGGCCTCATCCACCTCGGCCTTAGCAACAGCACACGTTTTAACATTTATGCATCTACAGCGTGAGTCTGTCACTGGCTGTACGCATGTTTGGGTGTGGGCCCGCTTACAAGAAGGCGCGATCATTTCTTATCTTGCAGCGTCAACTGGCAGCTGATGGCCCACGCCTGCTTTGCACAAGGGATCACCTTCTGTACTGCTTATGACACGCTCGGCGAGGAGGGACTGCAGCACTCGCTGGACGAGCCCGAGGTCGTCGGTCTGTTCACTAACGCTGAACTGCTCGGGACCCTCGGCAATGTCGTCGCGGACACGCCGCACCTTAAGTACGTCATCTACGATGGCGAAGACAAGAAGGGCGCGCTGGAGAAAATCACCAAGACGCTCGAGGAGCGCGGGGGACGGACGCTGCACCTCGATGAGCTCTTTAAGGAGGGAAAGGAGCACCCTGCTGAGCCGAATTTGCCCAAGGCGGATGATATCGCTGCGATCATGTACACATCTGGCTCGACGGGCAAGCCCAAGGGTGTAATCCTGAAGCAGTCTAACATCGTTGCAGCCATTGGCGCGGTGCTGTTGTTGCTCGGCGACTATCTCCACCCGATGGACACATTCCTCGCGTACCTGCCCTTGGCGCACATCCTCGAGTTTGTCGTCGAGTGCGCACTGATGACCGCCGGCGTCACCATGGGTTACGGCCGCGTCAAGACGCTGACAAGCAACAGCACGCGTAACTGCCAGGGCGACTTGCAGACGTTCCGCCCGAGCGTGCTCGTCGGCGTGCCCGCAGTGTTCGAACTGATCCGAAAGGGCATCGCCGCCAAGGTCAACGCCGGCGGCAGCATCAAGAAGAACGTCTTTAACGCCGCTATGACCATCAAGAAGAACAACGTCCCCATCCTCACCAGGGTTGTCGATAATGTCGTCTTCAAGCAGGTCCGCGACCAGACCGGAGGTCGCCTCCGCCTCGCACTCAGCGGCGGTGCGCCGCTCTCCCGCGAGACGCAGGAGTTCCTCAACGTCGCGCTTGTCCAGTTGCTGCAGGGATATGGCATGACCGAGTCGTCTGCGTGAGTGTCATCCCCTGGCTGCTCTTTCGGCTGCTTGGCGCTTGAGGCATATTTTGACGCTTCTTCCCGTTTCGCTGATTCGCAGGATGTGCGCCATTTTGACGCCCGAATTCTACCAGTACACCTGCGTCGGTGTGATCAGCCCTGCGATCGAGTGCAAGCTCATCGACGTCCCGGAGGCGGGCTATTTTGCTTCGAACGATCCACCGCAAGGCGAGATCCTGATCCGCGGCCCGGCGGTGACGTCCGGGTACTTTAAGCGCGAGGATGTGACAAAGGAGACCATCTCTGACGATGGCTGGCTCATGACGGGCGATGTGGGCCAGTGGAACAAGGACGGCACGCTGAGCATCATCGATCGCAAGAAAAACCTCGTCAAGCTCTCCGGCGGCGAGTACATTGCGATCGAGCGCCTCGAGTCGACGTACAAGGCCAGCGAGGTCGTCTCGAACATCTGCGTCGTCGCCAACAGCAACGCCAAGCAGCCCATGGCTGTCATCTTCCCGCACGAGCAGAACCTCAAGGGCGCTCTTGGCTCTGACGCTGAGCTCGCCGAGCTGATCAAGGACAAGAACGCCAGGAGTGTCGTCCTCAACGCTGTCAATCAGGTCGGCAAGAAGGCTGGTTTCAAGGCCATGGAGCAACTCCAGACTGTCATCCTTGTCTGCGAGGAGCTGCCTATGACCGCCGCGCAGAAACTCGAGCGGAAGAAGGTGGAGGAAAAGTACAAGGACCAGATCAATACGGTCTACCCGTAGATTTGGAAAGGCTTCTACCGACTCTCCTATTCCCGCCTCGTCTCGTCGCTCTCGACCGATAGGCTCACTCTTCCCCCTTTTGGCATGTTCTCGTATGACTGCATCGCGGCTTGTTTCCGCGAGCATCTGTCCATCATCAACCATGTTACTAATATCATACATCCTAAGCTTCCCTGGCCCCAATCTCTGTCATTCTGGGCCTCATGTTAGTGCTGCATTGGCATCGGCCCAACGCGGGCTGCACGTTAGCTTGTGGATATCGCATCTCTTGGATATCTGTTCTATCTGAAGAGGTACAAGTGCAGAGTGTGCTTTGCCGCGGGCTCATTCCTACGTAGCCGATTGCAGATCCTGGTTGAGCGTCGTCCAGAACTCGACGCCCAGATCGTCGTCCATGTCTGCGTCGTCTTGTGCTGCTCCAGACTGCTGCGCGTGCCCCTGCGCGTCTACGGCACTTCCAATTGCATGCGCACCTATTTGCTCGCCCCCATCACCCTCACCCGTGCCCGTTTCTCCGGCAGTGACGGCGGCGCCATCCTGCCCGTCGCCGCCGCTACTATGTGCTCCCCCGCCAATGGCAGCAGCGACGGCCACGGCGGCGGGACCGCGCAAGAGCATCTCGCTGAGCATGTCGCCCGTGATGCTGTCTGCCGCGACGCCCTGCTGCACGAGGCTCTCGCGGAAGGCGCGTTTGGCATTCTCGACTGCGATGCTCATGTCGCGCGGCGAGGCTGTTAATGCCGGGGCAGGCGGCGGCGGCGTCTGCACTGTACCGGCTGTTGTTGTTCCTGCTGCTGTGGTCGATGATGCTGTTGGGCCTGCCTCCGAATTTTGCTGCTGTTGCTGCTGCTTATGGTCTGTGCGGGCGTTACTCGTGATTGCGCGCCCATTCGCAGTGCCCTTACCAGAGGCTTTGGCACCGCCGCTGGTGGTACCGGGATGTCGGGCGGCGACGGAAGCGGAGCCATTGGTGCCAGAGCTAGCACCAGCAGCAGGGATGATGATCGCCTGTGGTAAAGCTTGTGCGGGAGAAGTCGACACTGCTGCGACTGCGGCTGCTGTGTTATGCTCGTCACCGTCCTGCTGTTGCAGCTGATGTTCACCGCCATCGGCGTCGGGCTCTTCATCCTTGGGGCCTGCCGACTCGGCATTCTCAGCGCCTCCGTCCCGACTTGCACTAGGAGGGGTACTGCCCTGATCGCTCGCCTGGTCGGCAGCGGCGAACTTGCCAGGTGGCCTGAGCGTGTTGCCCTTGTAGTGGCGGCCTAGGCGGCCCGTCGGGTTGGCGCCAACGGACCTGGCACCGCTCTTTGGATTGGCGACGATGAGGGCGTGCTGCATCATCTCGCTGGCCTCGTCTTCGAGCGCGTGCATGTGCTCGCGCAGGCGGCGTGCGTATTCATCTTTGTTCTTGTTTTCGTCTGTCGCCTTGCGCAGGCGATCGGCACTCGCGGCGCGCTGCTCGCCGGCGCGAGCGACTTCCGCCTCGGGTGCCTGCGCCTTCCAGTTGTACACGTAGTCTTCGATCTGGCGAGCGACGACCGTGTAGTACGTGTCCGCCGATAGCGCCGCGGCGATCTCCTTGGGTTTGAACCCGCCGCGAAAGTAAAGCTCCCAAACGCGCGCCTTGTCGCGGCGCTGCAAGCGATGCGGTGCGCTGCCGTCAAGCGCGTCGCGCACGTCATGGTTGTGCTCAGCGCGCAGCATTGTCAGGCGGAACGGCTCGGCTGGCGAGCGCCGGTCCGCCTTGAGCTGCCAATGGCACTCCTGGCCCGGCTCACCGGAGCGCTTCTTGCGCGCCTTGATCTCCTGCGCGTCGCCCTGCGGCTTGCGCGCGCGCTGCCGCGTGCCTTTCGAACATGCGAAATAAACGACGCGCACCCAGTTCGTAGGGTCGTTGTCCGGATCGGCGCTGTCGACTGCGCTGTCACCGAGCGTGTGATGATCCACACTGGCGGGGGCGCCGTTGGTCGTCGTGGGAGCGGAGGACGAAGTCGCAAGACCCGCGGCATCAGACGGAATATGGACGCTGATGCTTGAGAAATCAGCATCGTGCTCGGAGGTGTTGGGGATATTGATGAAGCTCTGCTCTCCGACGCCGCCGATAAAGGTATCCTCCAACCTCAGTCTCTTCCTCGCACTGCCGCTGCTGCTCCCATCGGCGTTCTTGGAAATAGAGGTCGACGTCGCTCGGCGCATGTTCTGCCTCGTGACGCGGAAGCCGTGTCGATTGGCAAGATTCTGTACGGAAGATGTGAGCTCCTCCGTGTCCCCGTACTCGTACTGGGACAGGTCGGTAGGGAAAGTGTATGGCCCAGGGCCTTGAACAAGGGAGCCTGGGTCGCCTGCTTCTCTGACATTGCTGCCTTCCACGCCTTGCTGTTGAGGCTCGCCCTCTTGCGCCTGCTGCGGAAGTTCTGCAGAAACAGCGGCATGTGGATGCTCGCCGGCAGCGCCATCTGCGCTTTCGACAACCTGCATGTCCTCCAATCCCAGCACGGCACCGTTATCAGTTTCAGCATCATGAATGCTGCCTTCGTCCTCGTCACGCCCGTGATGACGGCTGGCTGTCGCAGTCGCTGCAGCTGCCGCGACGGCAGCGGCGATGGCATCCTGCGGGTCCGTTGTGTCCGCCTCTAAGTCATGGGTTCCTGTTGCATCTGTATCGGCCCCTGGAGCGGGGGCAGGTGGAGGCGGTGGAGGTGGGGTTATCGGCGCATGCTGCTGCTGATGAAGAGAATGATCATCGTGATGGGGTAGATGATGGTGCCGACTGTGTTGTTGGTGATGCAACTGGGAAGAGAGGTGATCGCGCAGATGGGCCGGCAGGGCGCTATTATTGAACGCATGCAGCGTAGCGGCGCTGTGCGCTGCCGAGGAAGCAGCTGCAGCTCTGAGGCTCTGGAGAAGCTGCTCTTGCTGACGTTGTTGCTGTTTGTCGCATTGGCTGCTGTTGCCTGCGCTGCTGGTGCCTGCAGCGGGTGCTACACCAGCTGGGGGTAGGTTCGTGAATGCGGCTGCGAGGCTGTCGCTGCCGTCGTCACCATCGGCATGGCCGGCGGGAGCAGCAGCATGCGTGCTGACGTCGTTTCCCTTGCCGTTGCTGCCGCTTCCATCGTGGTGGTAGATGTCTGTGATGGGCATGCTTGGCATTGGCGCAAGGATGAGCTGCCACTTGTCGATGGTCAGCCATATGTTGTAAACTTGGCCACGTCGCGATGGCCTGGGGGATGAGAACGACGATGGTGAGAGTTGGCATAAGCGTGAGTTTGCCGTTGCCTGGTGGGATTACAATAACAAGGCAGAGACACGCATGGGCGATTGTATGGGTTTACGTGCAGTACTTCCTATCTACACCGCCAAAGCCGCGATTAGCCTGTTGCCTTGTAAAACTCAGCACTCACCTACTCTCCTTTAGCGGGTAAATCGTCACGTGACACCTTTCTTCCTGCTGTTGCAACTTTCTTATATAGGCCTGATAACCCCAAAAAGTGGTGACGGCAAACCCACATCTTCAAACCACCTGTCACTCAGTGTACCGCTTGGTAGGCTGGCATCCCTCTAGTCGAATACTTGGTGTTTCACAGCACGCCCAATGGCGTTATCCAATTTGTTAGCTGGCGGGCTGGCAAGCACAGAGGCTTGTGAGGGGGTGGTCTACCCCTTCGGCATCTTGCGGAAGGGTGCGCACGGCTGCAGGGTCATCGCCCCGCCTGTGCGCGTAAATTATACATTGGCATGCACTGGCTCGTATGTCAAGGAGGACCCCATCCTTCATTCGCCCGGCCCATGCTTGACCCGCTCAAGGCGCGATGCCTTCAGCCGCCTTGCTGAGATGCCCTCTGACTACCGCATGCAGCTGGATCTGCGGTTGCGTCGTGAACCATCTGCATTCCCATTTATTGTATTGGACCAACCCATGCAGTGAAATGCTTTTTAGCAGCATCGCCATTCCCACATCAACTATAGTACATGTTGAAAACCTCGAAAAACACAGTGAAATACAAATGAAACACATCCGTTCAGAGCAACTCCTCGCGCCGCTGCCCATGGGAATGTCCAAAGCGCTTCGAAATAGTGCGCGCGTTGGAGTCAAACGCGTACCCGTTCGCCGCGAACAGCCTACTCGCGAGGAACGGCCGTATGTCAAAGATGTCCAGCTCCTTTGCCCGGCCCTCCAGCTCGGCAAGCGGTACGCTGACCAGGTGTGTCCCGTCGTCCTCCTCTGCGTCAGCGCCTCCCCCTTGCTGCTCCTGTTGCTGACGGCGGCGCCGCCGTTGCTGCCCGAGCGTCTCGAAGCGTAATCGGTCCTTGACAATGCTGCCGAGCATGAACGACAACAGCTCGTCGTGGTCGCGCGCCTGGTGGATGTACTTGCGGAAGCCCTGTATGATAGAATCCACCGCCCGCCAGGACTGTCAGCGATCAAGTACAATCGATTCGCTGTAGCTTCCACGCAACTCACCCGCTCAAGCGTCTTCTTGATCGAAATCTTCTGTGCGCTGACGAACGACTCGACGGCGGCACGGATCGCGAGGTCAACGTCGTCGCTGCGCACATAATCGCGGAGGTGCATCTTGGCGCTGGCCTCCGCCATGCGGATCATGCTCTCGAGGTGTCGCACAGTGATAGGGTATGAGCCAGTGCTGAGTGACTCACGGCGGAGGTCCGCATAGAGTCCTGCCAGACGCTCCTGGTCGAGCGAGTGCAGCTTCGGGCGCACCTGGTCGCGCGCATACATGATGTACTTCTTTAGCAGCTCCTGCGGGATAATGTCCGCGTCGAGGCTCGTCGCGACACGCGCCTCATCCACGTCCTCGTCGAACGTCGGATGCGAGCGCAGGTGCGAGCCAACAACAAAGCGCGCGAGCATCTCGTCCTTGACCGGGTCGACCGTGTCCTTCACGACGCACAGCACGTCGAAACGCGAGAGGATCGGCTCGGTGAGCTCGACATTCTGCGCAAAGGGGATCGTAGGGTTGTACCGCCCGCGCACCGGGTTAGCTGCCGCGATAATTGCGCAGCGCGCCTGAAGTGTCGTCACGATGCCCGCCTTGGAGATCGAGATGGACTGCTGCTCCATCGCCTCGTGGATCGATGTGCGGTCTGCGTCGTTCATCTTGTCGAACTCGTCGATCAAGCAGACGCCCTTGTCGGCAAGCACTAGCGCACCGCCTTCGAGGGTCCACTCGCGCGTGACGGCGTCCTTGCGCACGCTCGCCGTCAGACCGACGGCACTCGCTCCCTGACCTGTCGTGAACACCGCCCGGCTCGCCGTTTTCTCGACGTACTTGAGGAACTGCGACTTAGCCGTACCCGGGTCACCGAGCATGAGAATATTGATGTCGCCACGGATGCGGTGCTTGCCGCCGACGTCTTTGGGTACGCCGCCAAAAAGCGACAGAGCGATGGCCGTCTTGATGTCTTCGTGGCCGTAGATGGAAGGTGCGATCGACTTGATGATGCGCTTACCGATGCGATCGTCGCGGCTCAGCGCGCGGATCGCACTCTCGTCTTCTTCGGTCAGGCGGAAAGCGGCAAAGGCGTCGTCCTTCTTGGCAATGTGGTTCGCCTCGAGAATGGTCGCAAAGACAGGGAAGCCGTTCTTGCTGTTGAGCTTGGCATCAAAGTTGTTGCGGTAGACGCCCGTCACCTCGATCTCCTCACCCGGCTTGGCGCTGTCAATGAGGTCCCATAGGAGGACCACCTCGCGGTGGCGCGGCAGTCGACCGGGCGGGACGCTCCCTGGAGACTCCTGCAGCGTCATCTTCTGGTAGTTGCGGTAGACCGTCTGCTCGGCGTTGACGCGGAACGGTCCGCGCTTCTCGCAATTGGAGCAGAACGACACCTTGACCTCCTGGTTGGCATCTTGGAAGAATGGCCCCAGGATCTCACCACAGTTGAGACAGTCGAACTTTACGTATTTGAGCTGTGGGAAGACGCCACTGCGGCGCGTTACGACTCCGCTGACGCGCACAAGCGAGTTGAGATGACCTTGACGCAGGTCGCGCAGCGTCGATGATGAAGGCAGGTCGGCGATGCGGACATGGATCTCTGGATGGATCCGGTTGTACGAGGGGTAGTATAGCTGGACGACGTCGAAGGCGACTTCGTCAAAGATGGGAAGGATCGACGCGGGCGAGTTGGCGAGGAAGAAGGCGAGAATGGCCTTGCTGTCGACGAGGTGTAGGAAGGAGACCTCGAGAGACTCCGAGTTGATCTCACCAAGCGTTTTGATGCGCTGGCCATACACGGACACACCCTCGGCGTCTACGTACGTGACGAGGAAGGCACGGAACTCGCGCACGATCGTGCGGCGCACGTTCTCGGTCGCAATCCACGAGGCAATGCTATCCGTCTTGATGTCGGCGAGCTGGTCGAGAGGCAGCTCGTCAGGCGCTGCGTCGTCTTCGATCGCCTCGTCGTAGTGCCTTCGCCTGCGCCGGCGGAGGATGCCCCCGTCGTCGTCTTCTTCCTCCTCGTCGCTCTGCAAAAAGGCGGGTGCACGTGAGCGCGCGGCGGCACCACGCGTCGCCCGCTCCTGTCGGTCGCGACGGCTCATCTTAAGTTCGGCGAGGCGACGCGTGTTGATGTCCATAGACGCAACCGACTGATCATCAATGTCGACTGCGTCATAGTTGTCGAGTCCGTCGTTGAGATTGTAATCTCTGGCGTGGCCAAAGCGGAGCGTGTCACCGTGCAGTTCCGTTTGGCTCAAAGGTGATCTCCAAATTTATCTACTCACTCGTGCATGTTCTCGCCAAAGAGGTCCTCGCCTTCGTCATCTTCATCTTCATCTTCGTGATAGTTGTCGCCAAAGATGCGCGCCTCGTTCTCATCGTCGACGACGCGGGTGTCCCGTCTGCGTGCCGGTCCGTCATCGTCATCGCCATCGTCATCGAGACCGCTGGCGTCATCAAAGTCAGAGAAGGCGTTGGGCGGTGACGAAGGCGGAAGAGACGATGGCGGCGGTGAAGAGCGCATGTTGCTGCCTGGTGTGTGTGCGAGGCCCGCTCCTGCTCCAGTCAGCGTGATGCCGCCGGGAGAGGATGCGTCGAAGGGGCCTGCTGTGGATGCGGCGCCAAGGTGCTCTCTGTGCGATGGAGAGCGTTGGCGCTTGCGAGAAGCGCCAGGCCCATGGGGCGGCGAAGAGGAAGACTGTATGCAGAGCCAAGAAAGGGGAAGGTTTAATCAGCGTTTGCCTGCACCTTTCTCGGAACGTTCTGCCGAGCATCATGCGGACGTACCATTGTGGAAGGCGCGCCGATCGCTGTGCTGTCAACAATGAGCAGATCCGAGCAGCGACGGTGAGGAGCTACAAGCTTTTGCTGTTTTGCTCGCCAGCACGATGTGGATAGACGGGATGGTAAATGAAAGAAACAGCTCGAGGTGATGGAGGTAAAGCCTGTAAGCAGAGGCGATGGCGATGAATTGACGCATGTTGAGTCCGCTTCCCCATGGCGCGTGTAAAGCAGCCATCCAACCAGCACGCGTCTCTTGCGGGTTGACGCGCGGCTCCCGCGTCGTGTCGCGTCGCGTCGCGTTTCCTCCTCGCCCGTTCCGTTCCGCTCCTCTCTCTCGCTCTCTCACCCCCATCCCCCATCCCATCCACTTCATGGATGGATGCATCCTTCAGATACCCTGATCTCAGCTCCACACATCGCGCATCCTTGAGAGGGCCCTCTTTCATACTCAAGCCTCCAAGAGCCCGTCGCGCAACATCGTTCAAATCCCCAATCCAGTCTCGTCGCCGCCACGGCCCGAAAAGAAGCAGCATGGACGCTCAGCAGCAGCAGGCTTGCCCGTCGCACGGCCTGCCGACCCCTCCCCTGACCGGCGAGTCGCGCAAACGACGGCGATCAACTGGGTCTGATTCCGATTTAAGCTCAAGCTCCTGCACGCGTTCTCGCTCTCGTTCTAGGGCAGAGGGGAATGATGAGATGATCTTGGTCCACGAAGAAGAGGGAAGAGAAAGAAACGGACCGATTCAAGGCGAGCAACGAGTAGCATCGCCCGCACCGACCAAGGAACATCTCCCACTTGACGATGCAAGCACTCAAGTCTGCCATCCGCTCTTGCACATGGAAACGATGGCCGATTTTCTTCTCCAAGGCCCGCTAGACTCGCCCAACAACCCCTTTGCGCCCGCCCGTGGTGCAGCGCATAATCGAGGTCGACGCTCTACAAACTCTCGTTCTCATCGATTTCCCAATGCAGCTTCGCCGCCTGTTCAGGCACCCATCATCGAAAAGGGCAAGATGACGTATGTCTTGTGAGTCTCATTTATGTCGTCTGACCCCAGTCGAATTACTAGGACTAATGCGGCCCGCTCGCATACTCCGCTCCTAATTCCACCCTGTCAGCCGAGGACATCGCATCATCTACCCAGATCCAGAAGGCGGCGAGTCGGACTCAGAAGAGCTCGATAGCGCGCAGGCACCACCAGGAGAAGCAGCAGCAACCGCCCCTCCCCCCGCTTCCGCGCCTGCTCCTGCTGCGCCTGCGCATGCGCCGGCACAGAACGCAAGGCGGCGAAAGCCGCTGGACCCGCGTGCCAACATGCGCTTCAGGCCCATCCGACTGTTCGAAGCGGAGATCGAAGCTCTACGCATGCAGAGAGCGCAGGGAGAAGTGGCGTATTCAGCAGCGCAGCAGGCACGGGCGGCTCGGTCGGAGACATGCTTATGGTCACGATCATCGGTCGGGGCCAGGCCAGAAGCAGAAGCAGAAGCTCAGATGGAGAGACCTACGCAGCTGCAGGGTGGCCAGCAATTAGACCCAGCACTCTTGCCACCATGGTCGTTCCTACCTTACGGCCAATCACGCGCATCTGCATCCTCCTGGGGATCTTCCGCCTTTGTGAATAGAGCCCGCAGATCAACAATTCTGTCATCTTCGACGGCCCCGCCGCCGGAAAGATCATCATCCACCTCAATTTCATCGTCAATTTCTGCTGGCTGCACGGGCAGCTTCAGCAACTCTAGTGTGGCGAGGCCACCTTGCCCTGGCTTCAACTGCAAGCGACGCAGGCTCAACCTCGACTATGTCGCTGAAGCTGGACGCGCATCATCTGTTCCCTTTGCATTTGCAGCTGAGCGCGCTAGTAGCCCCGGTACTGCTTGTCAGTCATTCGAGGAGAACAGTGGGGAAAAAGACCCATCCGCTGAGACGAGCGACGTCTTTGGGCCGTGCATCGCCATCGACAGCGTCCGACCCGCTCGTTTCGGGCCACAGTACTGCAAGCAAAACGGCGCTCAAGACGTTTCTCAGGAGCTTTATCCTCCCGCAAGAGCAGGGCAACGATTGAAACAGCAAGATGCTCAACTGCAGGTGCATCAGGCGCCGCCCCATTACCACCACCAGGGCCTGCTGCAAGCCATGGACAATGCTCAGTGGGAGTCTGGGTCCAGTGATGACGACGCGTGATCCGAGGCTGGATGAGTATACCTTAACGACGAGCATCCCACATAACGCTCTAACCATACTTCGTCGAGGTGCTACCAGGTTACAGTATGATTGTATTCACATTCCAGATTATTGAATGAGACTGGTACTTTGGCAGCAGATGTATCGGAAGCGTTTACGACTTCAGTCCCCTTCGCGATGCTGGTTCTCCGCCATACGAGACGGGTTGTGGTTCGGTTGTCGGCGTCTTTCTACATCCACGATGGTGTCGGCGAATCAAATTTCTTGCTGATGGAGTTGTGCTTTGACATTCGCCTTCCCCGTCATTTCCTGTTAACGCACCATGGCGGAGTTGCCTGCTGTTACCACCCAAGCCATTGAACAGGAAAGAAAGGAGGGGATCGGGAGGCTTTACAGTCAAGCACATTCAACTTATGATTGCATCGAGGGATACCTCCGGGGATCTTTCCCGCGGTCACCTACTACCCTGCCCACATAGCATGCGGCTTGGCTTAACGGCAGGCAGAGCGACCAGCGGAGCAGTTCAGCTTACAACACTTTTCTCAGCCAGCATGAAGACTACCGCCAGCAGGTGTCGGATCGAAAACGTGTGGACCTACTTACGTCCTGCCGTCTCGGAGAGATGCGGGGACTGAATCCAGGTGATCTGGACGTCGGCGCAAGGAGCCAACGAGACCGTACTGATGGAGACGATGGGCGGGTATCGCGTGCTGAGGCAACTCACCCGCCGGCCTACTATGTCCCATCTGAGGCCGTCAAGGGAGAATGAATCAAACCGTTTGATGCGAGGCAGACATTATGCGAATGGAAGTGTAAGGTAAGGTACTGGGACCTCGTCCCACCCGGCAGCTCGGCGCCAGCGAGCAAGACTAGGACCATTAGCTACGCCAGCCCAACGCCTAGCTTCACGTGCATCGAAAATTAGCTTTGATTCTACGCAGGCCCACTCTCCAACCCAACTAAGGTAGGCACATGGACTTACAAGGTCGGTGGCGAATGTGTCAAACCTCAGGAGGGCTCATTCTACGCTTGATGGATCACATCTTGGATCTCTAGCGGTGAACAGGGCTTCAAAGGTTGTGAGTGGAAGGTTCCCAGGGATGGAGTGAAAGGAAGGCTGCTGACGTTTCTCGTTACAGATGCCGGGACTTGAGGGTGGCAGTACATGTCTCTTTAGATGTAAGCGATCCATGAAATACAGCGCAAGATAGCTTGTTACAAATACAGAGAAGGCGAGAAAATAATGCTAGTCTGCCTTTCGAGCATGGCCAAGCTCTGATTGAACTTGGTCTCCAGCTCGTCATTGCCGATTGCCTTGGCTGCTTCGACCAATTGGCGCAGCAGCTCTTGCAGACGCCTGAACGCCCTGATGAGTGAACCTTCGAAGACGTCTGTGAGCTGTGCAGTCACGAAAGGTATCGTTTGCGATGTCAGCAACCATAGGATAGATGACAATCATTCGACATGACACAAACCTTGCAAATGTCCGCAAACTTGGCCCCTCTGCACCACTGGATGACAGCGTCCATAAGCTCGACCTTGAAGCTCTTGACGTACTCATCCTCATTGAGCGGTAACCTGCTCTCTTTCGAAACTTTTGCAATCCGCCTCGCAGTCTCCTGTAGCACGCGCAATGGCGCTGCAAGCTCCTCCTTTAGCTTAACTTCGTGCTGACTCTTCTCGTTGAAGACGAAGCAGCTACAAAGCGCCGCGCATTGCTCCGGAGCGAGGTCGTTGAAGATGCCGTTGAAAATCATCTCCGTCAGCATCAGTTCGTCACCGGTGCTTATCTCGCACGCCACACGGCCCTTCTTCTCAACGACATCCTGGTCGGTCGTGAAGCCCAGGCGCCGCAGCACTCGCTTGCGACACTTAAGCTCATCCAGTTGCAAGACATTCCGCGCAGCCGTCACTTTGCGCTCAATCTCTGCGACCTTTGCCTTATCCTGCATTTTCTCCTCGTAAGCCTGTTCAAGTTCGTCCAGCACCTTTTTGTCGAATTTGGCGGAGATCTCTTTGATGCGCGATTCGATCATGCTCACTTTGTCGAGGAGCGTCTTGAAGCCATCGTCATCGATCTTCATGTCCTTGACAGGGTCCAGAAGCGGGACTTTGCTCGGGAAACGCCGCTTGACCTCCTTGAGATTCTTGCGCACCTGTTCGCGACATTCGAGTGGGCGCAGATCCTTCGGTAAGAAAATACGGATGCCGGAGATCTCTTGCACTGTCGATAGAAGCGCAGGAACGACGACCATTTCACCCTGGCCTTCCTCTGTGCACGGCTTCATGACTACCTGCTGCGCAGCCCGTGGGCCTGTCTCTAGGACACCGGTGATGGGCCGTGCTTTGCCCGCCTTGACAGTATCCGCGGTAACCTCGTCTTTTGAGAGATACAGAAGGACATCCACGATATAGCCTTGGGATGCTGATGTATTTGGATCGAGCGGCCTGCCTTTCGCGGGTGGAGCGCGCTTTTGGTACGAGACAATGCTGCCCCAGCCGAAGTCCATACCCGCATGCTTGACGTGCACCAATCTTCCAGGTTGCAGGAACGGCAATGCGTAATTGGGGTGACTGACGACTGCTTGCTGGTCGGATTTGAGAATCCTCAGTTGCTCTTTCAGCTCAAAGATCTGTGAGATCAAATCCTCGTGGGCGATGTGTCTCCGATCATGCGCTTTCTGTGCATTGTCCAGCTGTTTCTCCAAGCCCGGAATGCTGGCAGCGCTCTGGAATTGATAGAAACATCGCTCAAGCATGTACTCTGGTGAGATTCCTTCCACGCGCATGAGGTTGAGGACCATGTTGTAGCCCAGGTGGAAGGCACTGTTCAGCCGATCGGCTTCACCTTTGACCATTTCTTTTGCAGAATGTGGCTCCAGCTTCTCGTCAAACATCATGATGACAATGCCTCTGTCATCCAAACCTCTGCGACCTGCACGCCCAGACATCTGGATGAATTCGCCGGAGGAGAGATTGCGGAAGTCCGTGCCGTCCCACTTCCGGACAGAGGTAAACACGACAGTCTTGGCGGGCATGTTAAGGCCGATGGAAAAGGTCTCTGTCGCGAAAAGCACCTTGATGAGGCCCTCCTGGAAGAGGATTTCAATGACTTCCTTCAGGATTGGAAGAAGGCCACCGTGGTGGATACCGATTCCGCGTTGCAACAGTGGAAGGATGTGCTCGATCTGCGGCAAGCCCCTGTCCTCGTCACTCAACGCGCCGATCGCATTGTTGAACACAGTCGCCACCATTTCCTTCTCGTCATCCGTATTGAATTCGAGCTTGCTCATCTGTAGCGCAAGCGCCTCGCATTCCCGCTTGCTGAAGGCAAACACGATGACCGGATTGTAGTTCTTTAGCATGATCATCTTGACAATCTTGTAGATGTCGGACGACTGATCCCCCTCCTTGGTCTTTCCCTTCTTCGTTTGCCCTTTCCTCTTGCCTTTCCCAGAACTGGCACTGGCTGGATCTTCGCCTTTAGAGTCGCTCAGAGCGCCCATAGCCTTCTGGAAGTTCTCCTCTCGGAACACGCCCTTCTCATCCACGACGAGATGTATCCCATCGCCTCCTTCAGGGAACAGATAGTGCTGTAGAGGTGTGGGCCTGAAGTCGGTGTAAACGACGTGGCATGGTTGCTGATGTGTTTGCGCGATCCACTCGGCGAATTGCATAGCATTCGGAATGGTTGCCGACAGGAAGACATAACGAACTTGGCGAGGAAGCAGGATAATTGTTTCCTCCCACACCACACCTCGCTCTGAATCGAAGACAGTGATCGGTTAGCTTGCCATCCAATTTTCAAAAAGCAGGATCTGCTTACCCTTGTCACGCATGTAGTGGATTTCATCAAAAATGACCCATGCTACCTCTCGCATGATCTCAGACCCTCGATACAGCATAGATCGCAGAATCTGCTCATACAGCAGCATAAGCGCATGGATGCGGTCAGCGATCAGCCCGGGAAAGTTCCTGCCTCGATAGCAACTTCTTTCATCACCCACCTCTGTAGTCATGACCAAGCAGCTGGCGCTCGGATTGATGGTCACATCGCCAGTCATCAGGCCAACGTCCCCAAACTCCGCCTGCAGCTCGCGATATTTTTGATTCGACAGCGCCTTGATTGGTGATGTGTAAACCACTCTTTGACCGTTCTTCAGGCACTGTGCGATCGCATACTCCGCCACGACCGTCTTTCCGGCGGAAGTGTGAGCGGACACGAGTACCGACTCGCCACGCTGAATAGAGTGAATAGAAGTGGCTTGGAAGGGATCCAAGGTGAAGGGATACGTCTTTGCTGGCTCAGCTGGAGGTATGTGCTGACTGAGAGGTGTGTAATTGTAACCAGGCGGGATGGCGACTTGATGCCGCACAGAGTGCGTGACAGTAAGCTTCTCATCTACCGCAAGTAATGCGGGTGAAGCACCATTGGTTGATTCCAACGCATTTTCTTGTGGCACTTTCGATTTCCCAGGATCGCTGGCCAGCCCTTTACTGGCAGCGATCTGCTGCTCGCCTTGAGCCGTAAAGTCATCGGTGACAGCAATTTTGGAAGTCGGCGGCTGTGCGGCCTCCATCCCTTCCTTGGTCACCCCATTCCGTTCGTCAGTTCTAGCGATTTTCTTTGGTTGGCTCTCATTTTCTTCGTCGTCTTCGCCGTCTTTTAACCGCTCTCGTCGTTTCGTCGAATGCGTGCTGCTCATGCTTATGTTACTTTGATGTGAATGAGAGAAACTCCCGTTGGCGTCATTGCCATTGGACGGTATGCCAAAGTCGAACAATTCGGCAGGATCCATGGCAAACACTACCCCTATCGTTCGCCGCTGCTTCTTGCACTTCGTATCAAGACGCCCGAGAGCCAGCCTGCGACCACCTAGACCATGATAAGTTGCAAGTGTATCCCAAAAAGAAAAGAGAGAAAGGGAAGAGCGAGCAAGATCGAAAATTCAGCGTGAAGACCCACCTCTCTCGGCCGAGAGAGGCGGGTCTTCACTAAACAGAGAGTCTCCATTCATAAGAGCTTGCGTGGCTCGACGACAGTCGATCTTGTTGGGGGGACCTCATACAGAACTCACTATTCACTCTCCAAGCTGCAGCCGGACTGGTGAAGGAGACACGCTTTGGAGACCATCCTTACAGGCTCAGTGAACACGTACATAGCCTCTTCGTGACCTGTATTACCCGAATCGCCGTCGAACATGGTACGTGCTTGTCGGTCGCTTCCGCAGACCTTCTAGGTCCAATATCCGTTTGGAGCGATGCGACTGGGGCTGATGTGCATTTTGCTCTCTTCTGCACCGCCCTTGGATTCCTGAAGGCTTCTCAAGACATGTCAGCCGCTGCTCAGCAGCCAGATCGTCCCTATGCCATAGTCCCGACCGCGCATGCGGCCGCGACCTCCACCTCCACCTCCGAGACCTCGCACCCGGTGCATAAGGGTATACACGATACCATGCGCTATGGTCCTCGTTCACTAGCATTCGAGACTGCCTCCAACTCTTCTGGAGCAGGTGGAGGAGTACACCCGTTGCAGAACAGGCTTGAGCAGTGGGATGAGACGAGAGATCGATTGAACCTGAATTTGCAGAGGAACATGTATGGCCTCGGAGCGCCGCTACGGCTGCTGATGGACAGGCGAATCGCATCTTACGTGAGTTGAGAGAAGAGCTAGTCATTCGAACATATATGGAACCGCCTTAGAAAATTTTCTGACGCACCCTCGGCGGCCGCATCATAGAACCCACACTTTCCGTCGCGGCAGGTGTCTAACTTTCATCTGGACATTCTAAACGGGAGAGACGAGAGCATCGAGCCAGTCGACTTCCTGCCTTGTGAGTCCGCGCTGCAGTCTTTCTGTAAATCTTTGACTGATTGCTGAACCTGTTCGCGTCACCTTCACAGCTGAGATTGGCTCAGAGATTGTCGACATCCACGCACAAATGGAAAAGAAGCACAAGATCTAGCCCGAGCATGTACTCGATGCATGCATTTGTATTTGTAGCAAATCCTCAATAGCAGACCCGCAATCTGGAGCGATGGATACTGTCTTATGCATGAGTATGGCATCATAACTCAAAAGGCTCAATCATACAACACATCAATCAGCACCGCCTTGCTCAGCTTGTGTGCTTTGCATTTGGGTTCAAGCAGGATGGTTTGCGTCTCGTCGATGAGCACGACAGGTCCGTCGACCATATCCCCCTCGTCAAGATCCTTCAAGCGCAGAATGGGCGTCTCGACGCGACCCTGACCGTCAAAGTAGATCAGGCGCTTATTTGCCTTCGACAAGGCCCACGTCGCAGGACGATAGATCAGGCGCTGGTGCTCCTCGTGTACTGATTCACCCAGCGACTCGAAAGAGCGTCCGATACCGCGCACGCGGATATCGTCCACAATGATTGGCTTGTCGGACAGAACGAATCCGAACTGTATATTCACAACACGACGCGTCAGCAGTGTGATTGATCGTGCAAAGTTGGCCTACCGCGACAAACCTCCTGTTTGTAAGTGGTCACGAAGGCCTTCTCGAACGCCCACCCGTCTTGTGGCTTGAGCGTCATGAGCGCCGTGTCCGTGCCATCGTACCTCATATTGAGCAGCAACTCGGTCTTGATCATCTCGTCCACAAAGCCTTGCGCCTTCAGTATCCCGCGTACGCGCTGCTCCATCTCCACAAACCGCTTCTGGATCCTGGCCGTCGTCGCACTACCCTGTGCGCCGTCCCACATCTCCGAGCACGGCTCCTGCTGTTCGAACACTCTGTCCGCGAGCGCCATGCCGTACGCAGAGAGGATCGAACTGTATTGGTGGATGAGGACCGTTTTGATGCCCAGCGAGCGTGCCAGCGCGCAGGCGTGCTGTCCGCCCGCGCCGCCGAAACAAGAAAGAATATGTTTGGAGGCGGAGTAGCCTCGTGCTTCAGTCAGGGCTCGAATGGGTCGGCACATGGTCTGCAAGATGCAAAGCAAAGGTTGAAGAGTCAGTATCGTGTCCAAGGCGCGTTGAGAGAGGAGGTACACACACCTCGTTGGCGATTCGTATGAACCCCTGAGCGACCTCATCTACACTCATCCCCTTGCCTGTCTCTTGGTTGATTTCCTTCGTGAGCTGCTCGAATCCCTTCTTGCTAGCCCCCTCATCCAAGCCTTGGTCCTCGTTCGGCCCAAAGATGCGCGGGAACATCTCAACGGCGAGGCGACCCGTGACGAGGTTGGCGTCGGTGATGGTCAGTGGGCCGCCTTTTCGGTAGCACGTGGGGCCCGGGTGTGCAGAGGCTGACTCCGGTCCCACAGTGAAGAGGCCATTGCGGAAGAAGAGACGGGAAGACCCGCCCGATGCGACAGTGTTGACGCTACAAAATCGTTTCGCGTAAGCTTCCATTCGGAACTTCATAGGCAGTCATACTCACTCCAGCTGTGGGCTCTCAATTGTCACTCCTGCCATCGTAGTCTCAAGTGTCTGTTCGTATCTACCTGCGTAGCGGGAGACATCCGTCGAAGTGCCACCCATGTCCAGCCCAATAACGGGTCTCCCATCTGCTTTTGCATCGTACGATGTCAGAGCCATGCCAACCACGCCTCCTGCTGGACCGGAGATGATGGACTTGAGGCCTGAGAAATGATCTACGGAGGCCAATCCACCGCTACTCGCGGGCGAAGGGTGCACAGAACATCAGCTTCCATTCCTTCGCGCGTGCATTCGTCCAATTAAATTCAACACTCACTCGCTCATCATGAACTCAACGCGGGTGCCTGCCTTTCCATTACGTAGCGATTCTTCAAAGCCGTCAAAGAAGGAGTCGATGTAGGCCTGCAAGACCGGAGTCAAGTATGCATCTGCAGTGCTCGACGTGCCACGGGGGACCATCTGGAGCCGCCGTATCGCAACAATGGCGGGACCTTTGTCAACCCTCATGAAGAATGTACAAATGCTTCATAGTCGACAGCTCTCCCGCCTCACCTTGATCATGGGCATCAACCTGCTACTAACCGACACGTGCTTGAAACCGATTTCTTTGGCTACGCGCTCGACGATCTCCTCATGCCGGGGGTATGTGAAGCTGTGTATCAGCACCACTGCCGCGCTGCGATAGCCATCGTCGTAAAGCAGCTGCAAATCCTTCCGGAGCGCGTCAACCTCTGGCTCTTTGAGGATGGCTACTGCCTCGCCCGAGACGCCCTCCACGATCCGCGGCGCGACGTAAGACGGTCTTTGGCCAGAGGGATCCCAGACTGGTATCGACGGCGGGCCATCTGGCGCTGCATAAGGTCGCGTGATGCACGTGTTGTACTGACGAGCACTGTTTTGGCTATCTCTGTCGGCATCTGTACTGCCGCAGTTGCTGGAGTCACCAAATTCAACTCTGTGCTCGCGATACTTCGGATCAGATGTATACCCAACAAGCGTGACGCGTTCGTCGACTTCTACGACCGCAGAGTAGAGCACTTCGGGTTTCCGAATCGCCAGGTCGAAGATGCGCGGTCGCGATTGGTTGCCGATCTGTACAATGTCTTTGAACCCTTTCGTTGTGATCAGAGCGTGCTTCTCGCCTTTCCGCTCCAGCAGGGCGTTCGTCGCCACGGTTGTGCTGAGACGGATGTAGTCTGCACAACATAGTAAGGCATGTGAAAAGCCGTAACTTTGCGCGGAGAGGACCTCTTCCTACTACCCACCAATCCCGCCCGTTTCGATTCTCTCATCTCTGCTGATTTTGTGCCCCGTTGCGATCTCCAGGATACGCCTGACGCCTTCTCTAGGTGCATCTTTGTAGTTCTCGGGATCATGGGAGAGGATCTTGACGACAATGTCCTCGGGCCCTTCGGACGGAGGCCGGTTCGGAATGTGGCCGAGACAATCAGTAAAAGTTCCGCCGCGGTCTGCATTGAAGGGTTGAAAAGCCAGGGAAAGATGGCCATCGGCGTTTAGAAAAGCGCATGGGCTGATGCGCGACGCTGCCTTGCAGGCTCACCAATCGCGATCTGCAGCTTTCCAACCTTCTTGCTTCCGCTTAGGTTTCTACCATTTACAGGCATGCTATCGATATTTAGATTCGAGTCCAGGATGCTGCCCAGCATCCTGTGCGGTCCTGTCACGAATCGTCAGCACCGAGGCTATGGGTATGCGCCGCAGCCCTTTGAAAGGAACGTGGGCGACACGAAGCAGTGTAGTCGCCGTGCCGTTTGTGCTCTCGGTTGTTCTTGGTACGGTGGCGAGGACGGGACAATGCTGATGGCAGGAGCTGAAAAGGAGACAGTTGGCTGCTTCTTTATCAACCTTCCAAGCCTTTCCTTGCGAGCGCCTGATCCCATGACGAAGAACCAAAGTCGCATCGATATGGAGAACAACCCGAGCAAATCCGAGGTAAGGAGGGGGGGACAACGTCACAGAGTGGCTCGTGCGCAACTCAGGAAACTGGTGACATTCTTAGGGTTCGACAGCTGCGTTCGGGCCTGTCACAGTGCGCTTGCAAGTTGTGAGACGCGTGTCTTTCGGCTGTCCACATGAGCAATTTCACTCATAGGGTCGTCCACAGCGAGAAGCCAGGATTGGGGGGTTGCTTCAGCGAGTGCTTTGCTGCTCTAGTTGTCTGCACCGACATTGCCAATAACCCTACAAATTCCGTCGTATTGTTTTGGCAGGTTGTCTGTAGGCTGGATGGCGGAAAGAGCTTTACTGCGCGAGCAGCAGGCTGGCTTACGCGGATCGCGCACCATCGGTGCAACAACTTTGGAGTTGTCCGCAGACAAAACTAACACCTCAACATCGTCCAGATCGTCCGGTTGTCCACCGCCGGCCTTGCGCAGACAGCCGAACCATGTGGACGATGTCGCATGATCAATGCGCAGAAGGTTGGGCATGTACCAGTATCACCTACAGGGTGCAGCGCCCTATCTTAGCAAACCCAGGGGCGGGGCGTCGTCTTACAGTTGTGGTGCCGGAAATAACGGGGTGATGGCCGATGTATAGATCAGGCTCCAGTGGCGTTGACAAATGTTCTGCCGCCGCTTGATTCAACGGCAGAGTGCCAAGAGAGTGAATGTCAAGACAGTGAATGTGTTCCGGTAAACCCGTCCTCTTCCTAGAAGTGGCTGTGGCCATTTCGAAGATATGTACTGACCGTGCTGAACGTCTTCTCAGACGCAAAACCTGTCTAGTCCGACGCTGCCAGGCGCGTCACTGCCGCTGCCATACCCACTGCTTAGCTGCTCGACCCTTGGGGCCCGGGTATAGTAGAATTGCACTTCGTGCAGTGTGGTATGTTGAATAACAGCGCCATTGTCAGCTGCATCACGTGACTGCTACACGTTCCATAAGGTCTCCTCGACGCGTTCCACCCTTGCAGGTTCGCGTCATCCAGTCTAATAACCTTCTTTTCTGGATGCACGCGGTGCGGGTTTTTCTGATGTTGCTTGTGCATTGTCGAGACCATTATCTTTGCCCACAGCTAGATTCCTTCTTGGACGCTGCGTTACGCACGCCCAACGAAATTGGCGCCTGCCTCAAAGCGGACGCACACAGTTGAATCAAGGGCAAGCGGTTCCGTCTATTCAAGTTCGATGTGAATGGAATGGAGCTACCGCATGGTCCATGAGCTCATTCGCAGACCTGAAGAAGCGGCGCGAAGCGCGCAAGCCAGCGGCGCTTACTTTCAACGGTACCACTGAGGAAGCTGGTCCGCCTGCCGACGTGGCGGGGGCAGCTCCCATCGAAGATCCTTCCGCACCGCACGCTCTCAGCATACCCCATGCGCTTGAAGAGAATCCCGACATAGAAGTGCGGTGGACGAGCAAGCACGGTCGCGGGCTCTACTGGCAGCCCAAGGATGGACGAGTATGCAAAAGAGGTGAGTTGTTGTGTTAAATCGCGCTCCCAAACTTGTCGCCCGAAGCTTACTCCCGGTGGCTATTAGGCACAAATCTACTCAGATTACGACCGCATGCTACGGTGCCATCTGAGGAATGCCTTCGATACGTGTGCTCCGCATGCCTCAAAATTCTTAAACTAGCCAATGCAACAGATGCGATGCGATGCTCGCGATGTCGGATGATGCGTTATTGTGACACAGAATGCCAGCGTGCAGACTGGCCCGATCACAAGCTCGAGTGCACAGCTTTGCAGGAGTACACGAAGCGTCGGCGCATGGCGGAGGAGCAAGCTCGCAAGGACGCTGAAGATCATCCCGAAGAAGAGAATGCGGAGAGATTTGCAATGGCCGTAGGGAAAGATACTCCGATGGAAGCTGTTGCTAAAACGCACGACAGGAACACCGATGATGCTAAAGACCCGGGTGCTGCGATTCGAATCTTAGCACGGCTTGTTTGGTCCAAATCGCGAATATCAAAGCAAGCGTGGAGACAGGTGAAAGATCAGTTCTCACCCAGACAGCTCATGTCGCTCGAACAGCTACAAGAAGCTGGGAAGCTAGCAGCTCGCTTTGCTTTCTTCCTAGGCTGCGCTTCTGGAATTGAGGACCGGCAACCGTCAAACTCCAGAGCTTTGGTCTCGCACGAAAGCCTTCCAAGCGATCTCACTGGATATGGTTTCGCCAATGCTCAAGATGTGCTTGACTTCGTGTGCAAGTACACGAGCAATGCTTTCACGGCCGCGCGGGGCGACCTGGATCCCTGTGGGATATCGATCTGTCCGACTGCTGCCCTGCTGAACAGCAGTTGCATCCCTAATGCAGTTGTTGTCTTTCCATGGGGTCCGAATGCTAACCTTCCAGCTTCTCAATCGCAAGATCGCATGCGCTGTCTGCACATCAATGTGATCAAAGATCTCAATCCGGGCGACGAGATTCTGACCAGCTATCTCGATCTTTCCGAGCCATTGCATCGACGCGAAGAGACGCTGATGCGCAGCTATTCATTCAAATGCGATTGTGCAATGTGTAAGAAATGCCGCAAAACCGAAAAGGCGCAGATCAAGGCAATGCGAGATGGCTCGACTCTTGATCTGGAGGGGCTTTGGCAGGATCCGCGCGATGCTGCACTTTGTCAAATAAAGGATTGCAAAGGATGGGTCGCTCTACCGAGACCTGACCCGAAGGAAAGCATCGCAGGAATCTTGCGCATCATATGTCAAGCTTGCCGAAAAATGCAGACGATCGACCTCGAGCCCCTACAAAAACTGCGCCTGTCAGGTGCAGAGCAGTGGATGGCTGCTGAACGGGCTTTCGCTCAGCATAACCCCGGGTCCACGCTGGCGATGCTTACTTTGCTACCGACGCTGCGCAGACATCTTCCGCCCGCGGCTTTCCCACTCTTTCCCATGTTGCGCCTCCTTCATCTTGCAGCCATCGAAAAGGCAAACAGTGTGGAGGTCCGTGCTTCACAATCCAAAGCTCTTCAACAGCAATCTGCAAGCTACGACACAGCCATCTACGCGGGCATGCTCCAGATACAAGGAATGCAGGTGGGAAATGGGTCAATCTTTGCAGACGGCCATCCCGCAAAGGCCCTCGCCTTCGCTGCAGTCGGTCGCCTAGTCATGAACGAGGCAGCTCTACGTCCGCAAGAACGGAATCTCACGCCTCCGAAGAATCTCGCGCAATACTTTGGCACAGTTCCATCCCTTCCGGGTTTACCCAGGACATGTTTGGAAGCCGCCCAATTTGCAAGGGCCAATCTGCGTCAGGCTAGCACACAGATCAAAATTGGCTTTGCCGATAGAGGTACCTCATTAGCAGCAGTCACAGAAGCATTGGACGATCTGGAGCGTGGCATAATGGCAAGCGCTATGCAGCCCTGATATCAATCTTTGGACTACAGCTCGCTGTCATCTTGACCATTGTACCCATCTTCATACTCAAGGACATCCTCATCGACAACGAAGCTGTCCATCGAGTAATGGTCATCATCTTGTGCAGCAGCGTCAGAGGAAAGCATCACAGGCCTCCTCGCTTTGCTGATGCCTGTACCTCCATCGCCCTTCTCGCCAAAGCGTCCCCCAATGCCGGGGAATAGATTCGCTGCCGACCGGCCGCCTCTAAAAGGTGTCGGCGCTTCTTGTGATCTGCAACAGCACCACCTAAAGCATCAGGTGACTGTTGCGTATGCGTCAAGCTGCAAGCTACAAGCTTCTACTCACAGCAATGACTGCATGTAGATAGCCTGCTGGTTGTACCCCGCAGGAGCTTGCGTTGCTTCGAAGGCTCCAACAGCCCGCCGGTCGTCATCGCTGTCAGAATCGGTATTGATGCCTTCGTCGTCTTCATCGCTCTCGCCATGCTGCTCTTCATCTGTGCTGCGGTCAGCCTCATACTGGAATAGCATTCTCGATCGCGGCGAGTTGCGAATCTTGCGCTTTGCTTGCTTACGCTTTCGCGGAGCAACCGCTGGTGGTGTTTCGGGGATCGACACTACCTGCTTCTTGTGTGGTGGCGATGAGCTGTTTTGCGCGAGGATGTGCGGTCCTCTTTTTTGCCCCCGCTTCCTGACAATCAAAGGCGAAGTATCGATCTCTTCTTCATATGACCCTGGATGATCCCTCGCCTTCTGCATATCGTGTGCGGCACTGACCTGCCTCAAATCACTAGAAATTGGTCCGTGAGGCGAGGGCGCTCTTGGCTTGACCTTGCTCAGAGGGACGTCCGACAGATCGGCATCATTTTGAACGCCTTTGTTTAAGCTACGCTTCGATGCAGTGGCAGCAAGTGGTTCTTCGTCTGATTGTGAAGTGAATATGGAGTTTTGAGGAATCGATGTGGCGATGGCCAGCGGCTTCTGGGACCATGGCTGGGAACTCGTGTCAGAGTCAGGCTCCCTCTCCGCAGCCGCGCTGGGCTTGATGACGTTCAAATCAATGTGCTGAAGTGGAGCATTCGATGCGGATAAGGGTTTTGCAGCATGTCTTTCGTTTCCCATTCTCTTCTCTTGTACTTTACCCGCTTCCGGTTTAGAGGGTGCAGGGTCATCTACGCCATTCTCCTTCTGGAGGAATTGAGCAAGAAGTGGGTGCACCCTGCCCATCGGAGGGCCATTGAATGTAGGACTCGCCGTGGTGGGGGCGACGCAAGCAGATTGGTGGCCACCGCGTGCCAAGCCCTTTGGCTGTACAGCCGATCGAACAGTAGCTGGCCTCTTCGCAGCTGGCTGTGCACGAGCTAAGGCATGGTTGTTCCTTGTATTCTTCAGGCTCGTATTAATTGATGTGCTGGACCTGCCGACTTGAGTAACTCCGGCTTTCCCTGTACGCGCTGCACCAGTGCTCTTATCGCGACGGGGAGCACGGGCTAAGATTTGATTCACTGTGCTGAAACCAGTGAGGAGATCATCATCCGAGTTGTCATCGAGTACGAGCGCTAGGTCAGTAGAAAGCGTGTCATGTTGTTCTTCCTCAGAGTCTGCATCTCGTGTGGCAGTGCCATGCCCGTTGGCCGGTGCGCGTCGTCCACAGAGGATGTCATCATCGGATGTGTCGTCCGAAAGCATGCCAGATGAACGCTTTTGCCCCTTCATGCTCGGCCTGTTACCAAGCTCAGAAGCCTTTGAGAATCCAGCAAAATCATCTTCAGGTACACCGCGCATGGGGTCTTTCATCTTCTTCCCCTTCTTGCTACTCGCGGCAGTTCTTGACGATCGAGAACGGCCGTTGGATATCATTGATGTGTCGAATTCTGGCTGTGGAACCGCCTTCTTTTCGACCGCTGGATGTATATGGGGTGGCACCATGCGCTCAACATCATCATAGAGCTCATATTTGCCATTCGTGATACTCTTGAGGACATTCCCGTGCTTCTCGCGCGCATTCTCGTGCTTGAAATCGTCCCTTCCTTCAGTCACGAGGAGCACAACTTTACCGTCTCTCTTGCGTCCTGTTCTTCCGACGCGCTGTAGCATGCGCACGGGATCTGAGGTGGCGTCGTAGCACACGATCAAGTCAATCTCGCCAATGTCGAGGCCTTCTTCACCGATCGATGTCGCTACGAGCACTCGGTACTTGCCCTCCTTGAAATCCCTGATTACTTGCTTTTGCTCTGCTTGACCCATTCCTCTGCTGCCGTTACGATCAGCTTGCTGACCAACAAAGCGGCAGGCGTCCATGTTGACCGAGTTGAGGTTGGCAACAATCTCTTCGACGCATTCACGTGACGAACAGAAAACCATCGCACGTGTCCGCATGTGAGATACCTTGTTTCCTGAGGCTTCTGCTTGATCCTGATCTTGTAAAGCAGCAATCTCGTCTTCGTTGAAATGTTGCTCGAGGATCTCGCGTAGCATATCCATCTTGGGGTGCCGATAAAATTTGTCGTTGACCTTGAGAGAGTTGACCTCTGTAAGGATATCCTGTACTTCGGCGAGGCCACGATTGATTGCCGATTTGCTCGAGCCCGAGCCACCTTTTCCGTCGCCGTCACAGATGGCGAGTACGCGATCACGGAAGATCATGGCAGACGAGTCAAGCAGAAAGCTCATGGCGAATGCCATCTGTTGTGCTCCGGCAATCGTCTTGCGCAAGTAGGGTTTGGCTTTGAGGACGTCGTGCGCGGTGCGCTGAAGCGACTGCAATGTATACGGCTTGATCGTCTCTGCCTTCTGATCACCACGCAGCAGTTGGAAGCTTTTGATCGCTTTGAGATAATTCTTCTCCATCAGACTCGCCCATTTGTCTTTCAGGCTCTCGATTACGGGATCTCGCGCAACGCGTACGACAGACTCGCTCTTGCGGTGGACGTAGCGGCGAATGTCGATGGCATCGTCCGTGCGAATCTCGATCGCGTTGATGTGCAAATTGTCAATCACCATTTGTACGTGCTCAGAATCCTTGCCTGGAGTGGCAGACAGCGCTAACACGCGGAAGTACGGGTTGCGAGCCATCAAGAGCTGCATGATGGTGGTGTATGCGAAACGGCCAGTCGCACGATGCGCCTCGTCTGCAGAAAGGAACACAAGGCGCATTCAGCATACAACCATCTAGTCATGACGAAACATATCTAAAGGCTCACCAATCACAATGCACACCACGTCTCTGGCATCGCAATTGCCTTTTTCGAGATCGTTGTTGAGCGTCTGCGGTGTCATGTAGAAAATGCGTTTCGCCTTCCAGTCTTCTTCGCGTATCGAGCTCCTTGTCTCGCCCGTGAGCTCAATCGCTACGTCCCAAGGTAGCCCACAGATTCCGTGGCAAGCCATCTGCTGTTGTCCGACCAGCGGTCGCGTTGGTGCAACGAAGATGACTGTAAGTGTGGCGATTCGTCAGCACACCCAGAACAAGGCTCTGCAGCACAGAAGTGTGCTTACTCTTGCCGTGCGGGTACCAGCGAAAAAAATTTAAGATTACGACAGCTGCGATGAATGTCTTTCCCAGACCGGTCGGTAGAGCGACCAATACATTGCTGCATGTGCGAAACACATCGTATACAGTCAGCTTCGTGCAACCTCTGCATAAGCATCGCGCGACACTCACTTGAACAGAGCCTTGCTGACAATGTTGTACTGATAGTCTCTGGCTTCCATGTTCGTCGGGTAGATCCAAGTCTTGGCAGCTTCCTCGTCGATCTTGTTTTTCATCGGAAGAGGCGGGCCAGCATTTGCTATCTCTAATAACTGATGCTGCTGGGGGTTAACACTCGCTCTGCCCACCACACCAGCGCTGTACATTCCTACGCCTGCCAGCCGGTGACTACGACGTGATTCGTCCCAATCTTCCTGTAGCTCATCGCTGCTAGTATTGACAACGAGGCTACCAGCGCCCACGCTAGCGAGGGCACGCTGGCGTTGCCACGCAGGACCCGAGGCGGCACGAACGTTGCGGTCCCACTTCTTTGCTCCCATACCAATTCCGCCGCTTCTGCTCCTCCCAGTCGCCACCGCGTGTCCTGCTCCTCCAGAGGCCGAAGTACTCGTTTGAGCGCCATTGGCACCGGATGAGTGGGATCGGTTCGCAGAGAGCACCAGGAGACCCGGCGCTCGCACAGCAGGTCGACTCGGCGCCTCGTGGGAAATGGCTTTTCCAAACAGATTCATTTGCCGCAACCCTCCGGTAGCATTGTTTCCTCCGCCTTCGGCTCCTGAGCCACTTCCGCTAGATTGCCGAGGGCGAAAGACCCCAGGTGTTGAGCGTCTCTGGCCCACTGCAGTGTGGCTACCATTTGTGCGAGTCGAGTTGGGCGTTCCCGCGCTGGACATAGCTCGCAATTCTACCTCATCGGCATATTGAAAGAAAGAGTCGTCAAATTCGTCTTCAAGGTCATCCATTTCGATGACATCGACGCCGGCATGCCCTCGCTGAGGGAGCCGACCAGGCTGCTTTCCCTTCGCCACGGCAGAGGCTGAGTGAGAGGACGTTGTGCCCTTCGCGGCCCAACCGTTGGTCTGCGGGACATTTGAGATATTGGACTCCACCGGCCCACTGAGCACCCTCCGAGCAGTAGTAACGCCGGGACGTGCAGCCATAGTCGGCACTTTGAATGCAGTCGGCGCCGCTGTAGATCCGTTTACTTCTGTCCGCCCCAATGCAGGAGTGCACCGCGTGCCCGAACCGGGGCGAGAATTCAGGTCATCTTCTTCATCTTCGCCGCGAAAAAGCGGGATGGCGTCTTCTGAGCTTGTCCCTGCCTTTTCCATGCCAGTTCGTCGGAGGTGGGTCGCTATGGAGGTACTGGCGGCTGCGAGCCCCGAACGTAGCGATGCCGGACCAAGTTGCGGGTCTTGCACCGCATCCCCACTTTGACACTGTCGATGGAAGACCCGGTCCATCTGTGCCTTTGGCAGAAACAAGTCATCGTCGGCGAGCTGCGCAATGGCGTCGTCAGCGTCGTCGAATCCAAACTCGTCGTCTGCATCCATGCTGTTTTGTGCATTCGTGCTCTACCGACCCAGTCAAGGGGCAGCCGAAAAGCACATGTGATGTGGCAAGGGGTTTGGAGCAGACCCGATACGAAGGCGACTAATCCAGTTCAAGCATGTTACTGCTTCCTTGATTTGAAGAGAGCCTGGCCCATTCCATACATCCGACCCAGCCGTCAAGTGTCAGATTTGTATACCTCACGTCACGAGTCGCTTGTGTGCGTCGCGCTGCTTCATCGCGGCGCGTCGCGTCTCACTTACGTGCTGTAGTTGTTGAGTTTCGTGCCATTTTGTTGCTTTGGATCTAGATAAGGGCTGCAAGCCCGTTCCGCTCAACTTTTACACACGAAGCATCCACGTTATATCAGTTAACTTCATCACTAGTGTCTATCCTTCCTGAGTTGAACTGCACGGCATCTAAGCCTGTTCCTTCCACATTGTACATCTTGAGGACGGTGCCCAGAATCTTCAGTTCGATTCGGGTCACTCTTCGAGGCACCAAATCTTACTTACTCTTCATCGAATACACATCTTCCGGGTGCCCCAGGTGCTCTTTGATTGTCTGCCTCCTCGTATGTCGGGAAATGAGTAAGGGTCCTATCAGGATAGACAAGCCTGGACAAGCAAACATGTGCTTCCATACTGGTCTACAGTTACTTCAAAGCGACCCAAAAGAAAATGTGGAAGGGAGAAGAGGGTAGCAACAGATCGACAAAGAAGGGTACGCTTCCTCGCTGGCGGACGGCGCTTCTAGCGCGCCATGTTGTGAATAAAAAAGAGGCTACAAACATGACTCAATTTTAAACTCCCCGAAGTACCACTAGAAGGCCCTACACATGTCCCAATGTTGAGGAACAGTCGGGCAATCTCGAAATTCCTGTATGGGCTTGGTAAAATGAAAGCCGCATAACTGTCCTCTGTTGATGTCTCGCTGATCACCTTCACGCAGTAGCAAGCGCATGAACAAGCGCACACACGGTGCTAGCGAGACTTCTCTAGATTCTCAGCGAGTTCCAATGCACTCACACAGACGGGATGGCGAATTCTGGAAGGGCACACGGAGAAGTGCACAAACTTGAAGACGATCCAGTGAATGGCCTAGAATCACACCTGCTGTCGCGCCCCAGCATGTTCTGACGAGATGGCTTGATGCAATTGGGTGGGCAAATGACTTTTGCATGTTAGTCCAAGAGCTGCGGTATCAGATTCGGTGACCAATCATGTCATCGTTCGTCGAACCTTCGACGAATCGCTTCTTATGGTCGTAGAGCTCGGTACTTTGTGCCTTCGTAAAGCATGGCTTGGCGGTGAACGTAAAAAGCCCTGGGAACAACTACTTCAGCACGAAGTACTTATGTCAGAGAGACGCAACGGCACTGTGTCGGAACCTTCGGCATGTTCAACATAAATGCCTTCCAATTTGTTTTCCCGGGAGACGGCATCCCAGAACACCTTGAAGATCACGGATATGGCGAACAGATCTACGGAGGGGACGAACTCAAATGTCTCCGTAGCTTGCTTTTTGGGCCAGCAGGGCAAGACTTTCAGATAACATAGTGCCGGAAGCAGCACGATCAGTTGCGAATCACTTTCTGAACAGACGCTGCCGTGAATTCGTGGGAATAGATACACTGAGAGAATGCGATGACCTGCATGTGACAACTGTTCATGCGATACGAGAGGGGCGTTGGACACGCACGTTGAACAGCGATGTCGGTTGATGGAAGCTGAACGCGCTGTGTTGGCTACACTTGCTGCTGCGGCCAAACGCTCTGACAGTCGCTCTTGGTGACTACCGACGGTCTGCTGGTGATATCTTACGCTGTGGTCTGCGCCCGAACATGGTGTTTCGCTGACATTTAGCCCTTCAGCGACGCATGACATGATGGATCAATTGGCACCAAGACTGATCGTGCTAGTTGGATTCAGGATGATCGCTCACCGTGGAAAGGGCTGGAAGCCCAAATGGCAAGAAAGGCTTGAAACGTGTATGAATGATACTGATTCTTACAACGTACCGTCGGAGATGCCTATCCTCCTAACTCTGAAAACAGACTCAAAATCTTTACAGGTGATGGTGCAAGTAACGCTCAGACACGTGTGAAAGGTTTCAGTCTGTTGATCATGTGTTTCGCTGTATGGCTAGAAAAAAATATATCAGCAGCAAAAACGGTGCTAACGCCCATTTACGTCAATGAAGAGCTTACTAATCCCTATTGGTGATAGACATCATCAGCTAAATATCCTTCTACTGTGACACTATGCCCCCACTCCCCCCCCCCCCCGAGATGGTGTTGATGACGTTGTGAGTAGAGGGATTGGGCGCGCAAAGTAAGAAAGTATCACGAATCGATTGTTGAAGCTGAACGTTGAAACTTGTGCATGATGTTCAAGGCAACTTTATATGTGGAATTGATGGATGTCATCATAGCCATATTGTAGGAGGTGTTATAGGAAAGCATGTGGTGACAAGGGTAAGCTCCTATAGTTCATGAGGGTGTAGCACCGAGAGTAAGATGAGTCTCAAATGCTTGCTGCAGTATAGGCCGACCTGAATAGATAATGCATGTACTTCGTAATCATTTCCGAGCCCTCAGACTTGAAGCAGAGAAATGTCTAGCTTTCGCGCCTTGAATGGAAGGAAGTAGGCATCTCTGGCCTCTTTGCGAGCGCCAGTTTGACATGAAGCGTTGATTACGTTTTTAGGTTGCTAACATGACCTGTACAGTAATCCCTAGGAGGCCATAAGCGCATTTGCACATGCTTGTAGGTGATAAACGCAATGCACAAGATGAGCATCGGTTGCATCGGCCTCCCCCAAGCTCACCTTTGCATTTCTCGCTCTGACTTCCATCCCTAGATCTCAAGCCGTCCAAACGGGGAACCTCTTTAATGGTAGGTGCAGGAGGCTAGAATCTGCTGGATCCTCACAGATCGGTGGCTTAGCTTGTCGGTTCAAGGCTCCATATGCAACCCAGTCTTGTTAGAGCCATGCCGAGCACACGCACGCGTACTGCCTCGTACCGTCCTCATTAGGTGAGCACTTCATCCAGCATCATGCTCATCGGCACGGGTGTGAGCAAGAAGGCGCAAGTACCTTCTGCGCTAAATCAAGTTTCTGCTCGCGGTGCGACTACAGAGGGTAGTGTTCGGCCAGTGAAGAGGAACGCTCCCAAAAACAAGACGGGTTGGACTGATCATTGGCTTGATGGAATCCAGAAGCATTGGTACCTTCACGATACAATTATGTCACGAAGCGGTGTCCACCTAACTCTGTTTCCAGCATCCTGTGGGCGATTGGCTTGAGCTGTTCTGACTGCATGCACTCCCTTTTGCTGCATGTTACAAGTTAAGACATGGGTTACCTTTCCATCCATGGACCTTGTTGAACGTGTGACCTTCCGTGCCTCTCCCTTTGCTTTATGACAGTAGCCAAAACGAAAAGCTGCCACTTAAGGACCTTTGTGCCCACTACGTCCCTCGTACACAGCGACGCTCCTGGCCGTCTCCTCATGCTCTTCTTGCTACACCAACTCCTCAACTTTCTGAGCTTTGCATTCGCTCGAGCAAAGTCTCGTCACAGGTGCTGGCTTGGGTTACCACTGTGGATCTGGCTCAGCGGCTGGCCACGCTGCAGGAATCATGCATGCCGTCACTTCCGCCTTTATCCTTTGGCGTAAGTGCGCCAATGCTGCGGTAAGCCACGCGCTGAAGGCAAGGCTTTGACTATTGCCTGCTTGCAACATCACTCGCTTGCTTGTCTCACGCGGTGGGCCTCGCTCGCAAAGTGTGGGGTTTCAAGCTCCAGCGATTCAGCTCCTTCAAGCGTCATCAAATCTGCAGGCTTGCCCGTGCCGTAAGACGCCCAGGCTCCAGCATGTCCTCTATCAGCTGGATCGCGGGTTTATGTTTGGCGCATTTCGTGCGAGCTCTCTACCTGAGAATCGAGATATCTCATCGAGCTAACCCAATTAATCAAGTTTCCGGCTTCATCCCCACCAGTCCCTGCCCATGCGCCTATGTCTGGATATGTATGTATACATATAGTCAGTAGGCTGATGCGATGATGAGCTTACGTATCGGCGAAAATATTCACCATAAGCGGGCCTCTGACCATGGATTCAAATCCTCATTACGCATTTGATATCTGTTTCCGTTCGCTGGTCTTGGTAGAAGTAAGTGGTCCTTGAAGCCGTCTCTAAATACCTGAAGTGCTCGGCACGATGCAGCCTCATGATCAATTTGATATACGCTAAGTACAGTCTCGCAACTCACGCCTGTTCAGGTTTCACGCCTAACATCTCACATTTCACATCTTCCATCTTGCAGATTGCAGCCGGCTTGATGAACAAGGGCAGCACTGCCAGGTCATATTCCCGTAAGGAATTCACCTTCACCGAAGGGTGAATGCCCTTTTGCGGCAAAGAATAGCCTTGTCTGCGAGAATGTGTAGGATTCGTAGAATCTGATCCGAAATCTGAAGGCATGAATCTGTCAGACGGGAATGAATAAGCAGTCATGTTTGAACATGGTGGAAAGGAGATGTGAAGCCAATTCCGATGAAGGATTCACCTCAAGCTCCTCGCCATCATTTACATATCAGGGGTTGGGGGTTCACGGGCCAACCGTTAGACAGGCGTACAGATCAGAACTGATATCTCACTATTCTCTCCAGTTGCCAGAAAGGTACATTGTCCCTCTGCTAGCTTGGTATGTATTTGTCATCGGCACAGTATGCACGAGTACAACCCATTTGAAAACATCTTGTGCAGCCATTCGGGACCGATGCGCATGCGCGTACATATACATTAGTAAAAGGTATGGAAAGCAAGACAATAACGCCAATACGTCAAAGGAGTCGCCCCTTTTTCGTATATTGCCTCACCGCAATTGCACTAAATTGCAACAATTGCGCCGACGAGAAAGTGCTAAAAAGCAGAGTGATGGCGGTGTGTCATTGCCTGTTGGCTTTGGGTGCACCAAGCCAACCTCCTAGAGTGGTCTACTCGCCCAGGCCCGAGCAGCGCAACGAAAAGTTGCACTTAGTGGAGAAGATGGTTTAACGGGCAGCAGCGTCAACCGCCAACAATTTTAAGAACCGAAAAGGAGCGCCAAAGCGGAGGGTTGATGTTGCTTTACGCACTATATATGTGTGCCTGCGCCACTCTAATGGCACCTGGGGACAGGGTTCAGC